CGGGACATTCGTTAAACGCTGTTATAATGCGAATATTAATTGCGTCGCGAGGGAAATAAAGTGCAATCAATATGGGACGACGCATCGACGTTCTGGATGCAGTGACGTCGATGAACCTGGTTGGACCTGACTCGACTTCGATGCGAAATGGTGAGTGTTGAATTTCAACACTCGCAAAGTGTCTTATTACATAGTGCATGCGTAGACAAATCATCATTGATTCCCAACGAAAATAGCAAAATCAAATTGCAAACTCGAATAATTTAATCTTTTGCGATTCAAATTATCTTCGATTTTTCTTCCTAATCGAATCGTAAAAATTCACTCATATCGTGACGATATCGTGTAGATTGCGTTTATTTCAGTTATTTAATTATTATTATTTAATCATATTTCGATATATATTTAACAACACATTCATATTGATATATTTATAGCAAGAATATATTATTAATGAGTAAAAAGTTGATTTATAAAACACACTAGACAAAACGCGATGTTGAAGTAGACTCACGGCATAGGGCTGCAAATGATTAATATTTATATCGCAAGTGCAATATTTTAAGAATATATTCTGAAATTTAATTGGAATTGAGAATTTTAATACGAAAATACAAAACATCAAAAGATTAATACATCAAAATCGTTGGCCTATTGCTACGTGTGTAATACAATATAAATTTCGCGATCAAACTTTTGAATATATTAATATACCAAAATTAATCTATCGTTTCGCCTTCATATTCGTAATTCAATAATCCAACAATGGATTGAATTTATTATTAAATTTAAAACGCATTGATACGTTTGAACAATCTTGAATATTTACGAGAGCATTTGCAAATTGTTATTGTACCAGAAGGAAGATGGATCAAAGAAAAGTAACATAAGCGCGTGAGATAATTTCGGAGCGCTTCACAGACGTAACGTCAAGTGCGCACGCCATCGCAAATCGTTGTGAGAAAATTTCGTCGTTTTCCCTCGTCGTAAAAATGCCCCTGTCATCGTTTATCTTACTTTTATCAGCCTACGAACATTTCCTACGAGAGGACGATTATCCGCTACAGGTCTGATATCATCTGAAATCGCGTTTGATACGACACTCTCTTTCCCGCTCTCGAAATCGTTCGTAGTCTTTCGGGGGAAACTCTCCCGGAATAAAAATCACCGCATTACGATACTTCGTGAAATATCCAGTGAGATCAAATCGATCTGTAAAAATAATCGAACATTCGTCCGCGTAAACGCAACCATGAATAATCGCCGCTATTTTATGCAATTTATTTTTACAAGAAGCTTGCTGCTCGTGCGCAAAGTTAAATTACAAGCTTAACTATGTACTGCGCGCGGCTCATTCCATCTATAACATCGCAAACGACTGCTCCGCACAACCTTGTTAAAATCTTTACGCAACCGCTACGCCGTCGAGTTTATTCCTTCCGAGACGCACTTCCGTCAGGAAGAACTTGAGAAACAAAATTTCTCGGATCAAGATATAAAAACGCGCGTCCAATGAAGAGGTAATAAAGGTTACGCCTAACCAAGATCGTATTTAACTTTGTTATTGTTTGGTTAGTTTCGAACTTTCTTTGGTTATATCTATTCGACAACCACATTTAATGCCATATACATCCTTTACATCCAAACATTTGACAGGATCGTCGGAAAGAAAAAAAGCACTTATAGTCGTCCGCTTTTATTTCGCGCTTTATGACAGAATATGAAGATTAATGGCCGGCCATTGTGACATCCCCTCTCGTTTCCGCGATGCGATGCGACGAAGAGCTCGAGGGTGGGAGGCGAGGCTGTTAAGCTTAAGCTAACTCACTTGTCTTGGCGGTGTGAAGGATACACACCGAACGACCTTCTAAACACCGTCGCGGATATTTCACCGCGCTCGAAGATTAAAGGACTCTCGAAGCTCCCTCGGGCGAGGATGACGGCGGGGGTGGAATGAGAAGGCGAGGGAGAGGAAAGGACGGATGATGCGCTACCGACCAGAATGGACAACCTGTCCGGCGCGATGCGACGGGGAAAACGGCGTTGATGAATTCGCGTCGCGGAGAGGCCGCCCTCGAGGCATTAACCTTTGCGCCGGCCGACCTTTATTTTCCCGGTAAAATATTCCACCTAGTAACGTAACTAATATAATGGAGGGCCCTGTGGAGGTTGCGAGAGAACATTCGGGGGGATCGGCAAAGAGAATAAAAGATAGTTAAAGAGGATATATCGAACTTGTCGTTTTCCCACGTTTATCGAATTCCGCCAGCTGTGTCCGAACATTTATGTTACTATTATTTTTAATGCGCTTTTTCATTCTCCTGGTAAAGATACTCGTGATATACGCATGCATACAGAAATCTCAGTGCAGAAAGATTTGTATGGCTTTTATTAATTTCATTTCTCGGGCCGAAATTTATATTCTTTCGATTTATTTTTAGGAGATTTATTCCTCGATCAACCTTTACATTCAACAAAGGGCGATTTCTAGGTCGCAAAATCCTAAATTACTATTGTTCACGATTGTTTTGTTTCTTGATATTTATACGCGATTTGTTTGATACAAACAACATAATTTAATGTCAAATATCGTTCTGTTTAAATAAAAATGTCATTGTTCCACTGAAGTAAACCATGTTGTTCGGTAGAGAAAATAGTATTATTTGCAGGAAATATTTGGTTTTCAATAAAAAAATGTATTTCATTATATATTAAAGATTGTTCCACAAAGAAGTTCTTTAATATTTTCCTAACTTAGTGTTTCAAGTAATTTATGATTTGTTACAGTCATTGTAATGTTTTGAGATACAAAAGAAATATGTTATTTGACGTAAAAATATTTATTATTTGCGAAATCAAACAATCCTATTTGTTGAATCATATATTCGTTTGTTTGCTCCATTCCAAAAGACAAATTTGTCTCAATTGAAGATATTTCATTATCTTCGAAAAAAATCTTTTTTCCGTGTAACGATCTTTCTTTTTTGGCGTGAGATTTTTTCAGCTTCGCCTTTATTCCCTCCCTTTCGCGTGATTCTTTCTCGGAGCAATCTCTGAAATCGCGAAACAATCGAAGTAATTCGCGTGGTGTAGGGTAAAAGTCGCGGGGATTCTTCGCGCGAGTTACGCCACTGATTCCACCAAGGAACACGAGCGGGCCGCTCGAGAGTAGCGCGCGACATTTGTTCCTGGGAATCACTTTAGCTTCATCAGGGAAGCGACGCGTCTGGCCTGCGTGATGAACAATCGCGGTCGTCGAGAGTTCTCTCTTTCGGTTCCATGCAATTTCTCGTAGCGGGATCGGCGAGGAATACAGAGATTAAATTGCTGAATGTAAAACAAGGAGACGGACCGCGTCTACGTTAAGTCGAAGAACGAAGCGCCGGGGTTAAATGCGCGCGGGCACTTCGCCCTCCGGGTATTTCCACTCTTCGGGTTTAACAACGAACGTTTTATTCGACTCCATAAAAGGCGTAAAAAACCATTCCTCGGGCCGAAGTTTATAATTTTCCGATTTTATCTCGCCAGAGCTCGCGTAGACGACTGAATATTTTAATTTTTTACTCCTCAATCTCTCAACTTCCGCGCGTTTCCAGGCCACGATTACACCAAATCGTAATTTACGGTTGTATAGCGACTTTTTTGCAGAACCGCGCGCGAATATAAGAAATTCATTGCGCCGTACGTTTGTGCATAATTGAAAGCCATATATCTCGCGAAAGTGGATCGAACTGTTGCTAAAGAGCAGGGTAGAAACATAAAAAGAGAAATCTCGCTGGATTGCGAAGAACCGCGTCGCATCGTCGAACGAAGTACTGCGCTATTGTAAATACCGGGGGATGTGGAGGAAATCATGAATTCGCGTGAATCCGCGGTGAGCACGTGTTGCAGCGAGCATCTGTCTATCCGCCACTTTCGCCGACGAGAAGCAACTTTTCCAATTTCCAGGCAAACCAGTCCCCTTTACGAGACCGCGCGTTGGCATCATGCGCTTCGCATATTTCATCCCCACCGCAACATCTAGCGTACCCCTTTCTTAGGTAAAAAGAGTTCCCCCAAGTTTTTGACCTCGTTTCTGGCACTCTTTCGCGGAACAATCCGCAGCATTAAAAGGCAAAATTAATTTCAGAAATTGCGCATATAATCGAAACTAAACGTTCTCTATAGCGAAGCGCCGCGAAAAGTCGTGGTGGAGATCGTCTCGAGTGTTCTTCGAATAATTTCATTCACGTTTTGCTCGAACGCGAGAAAGAGAGAGAGACGGTCTCGTAAAAAAAATATATGAGCCATTTATTTTGAAAGTGGCCATTTGTCAATTGTTTTTTATTGACTGTAGTAACGTGTGCAACTTGAAGTTAGCTGTCATAAACAACATTTTGCGGTTAAGTATATTCAGAGTATACGATAATTTTTGACACATAAATTTTCGCAGTTATTTCAATAATTAAAAACATTACTTTGAAAGTAGCCTATCCGTTATTGATAATGTCTGAAAGTGCGGATTTTCAAATTCCGAAGGCAGTGATGAAGGTAATTTTAATTAATTAGTATTAATATTTAAAAAGTTAACCTCACTTTTTGGACAGTTGCTTTAATTGAATAATCAGTACGTTTAATTAATGCAGTGAAAAAAAACTTACGCAATACACACTTACAATTGAATTTAAACTTAAAATGTTAAATTATAGAAATGATTACACCCATGGGGAAGAATAAAACAATAAGACCGTTTAATTCAGAGAGTGAAGACGAATTAGTAACTAATGATTTCAACAAGTACTCCCCACACCGCTTGGGGGACAATTAGAGATTCTCTAATTGTTTCGAGCAGCTTTCTCCCGTTTAAACGGAAGGAACATAAACAAACATGCAAAGATCTATTTACATGGAAAAAAAATGCTATTGAATCGTTAGGATTTCCAACAACAATGTAATTGGAGTAAATTTTGAATCAATGGCAAATATTATTAAAACTATTATGTTATATATTGTTTTAATAATTAAAGTATTAATTTCAATGATATCGAATCAAGAAGACTTATTCCAATTATGCGTGGAAATTGATTCAACAGCATTATTTTTCGTGCAGCAAAGTAAATCGCATTAATTCCAACGAAATTTTCTACAATCACCGACCATTTTGGAATTCTTTGCTTTTTGTCACTCACCACCAACAATACTTCAGAATTCAAGGTTGACCACGTTCTATTACTTACATCTGAAACAAAAAAATACAATTTTGCTGGTTAGATTTAGAGACTCGGATGAACGATCAAGTGTGTATATAGAGATACGAATGGATTAGTACGGTCGTAATTCGAGTCGTTCTGTGGCGATATCTCGACCACGAAAGGTTAAATAGAGAAGTATAGCGAGTACGTGAACGTACCTTCGAGTCGACCCTGCTCGGCCCGAACCGGATCCTCCGGTATGGCATCCGCGTTCGTTGAAACTGCGTTCTCCGGAACTTCATCTGCTGCACGGTCACTACTTTCGCTCGATCTGAAATAAAAATTGGTTCGTCTGATTAGTTATAACGGTAATGAAGTTACTTGGTAATGAGGAATTTTTGGTTTGGCCGAATTAAAAATATATTTCGACCACGAAATCCATTCTTAAATCTGGTACATAGAATTGTCACAATTACATTTTAAATTTTACATTGCTCTTACAGCTCACGGTGGCCTCGAAACGACAATCGCAACGAGCGAATATCGCCCATATTTATTTCACATTAATATCGAATGATTTTAGAAACTCGAAAATGACGGACTACGTCATCTAAGATGCTTACTCGCGCGTATCTAGAACCGTTACGAGCGCGTGTACTAATGTGTATTTATGTTGCGAAGGTCGCGCGATCTTAGACGATAATACACGAGCAGAGTTTTGTGAGTTCATCGACTATAGAATTATGTGTAAAGTATATTAAAAATGAGTGATGTATGCGTATAACTAAAAAATTCTAGATCGGATCGTCCGTACATGTCTGCATGTCGATTTCAAATTCCGAGATACGAAGTTACCGAATGCCCGTGGCCATAGAGTTGCATCGCCTTTGAGGTTCGCGCGACGTTGCAATTTCCACTCGCGATATGTGCCAATTCATATTGTGAAAATTTAACGAAAATCGGACGCGACGCGAGAGTAAAAATAGCGAGAAATTCGTCAGGAAAGGTCAAGGACCACTGATGTTAAAGCGACCCGCAGAACAACGTCGTCGTCGTGGTCGCTTCCGGGGAACAGCGCGCAAAACGGAAGCTCCTCGCACTAGTTGCATTTCCTGCGCATCGCCGTTGTCCTGCGCCGCGCGGCAGGCCAATTCGGAAATTGGAACGTGCGGTGAATTTACGACCGAGCATCTGGCGTCAGCTTAATAAAGCTTCCGCGGCGGCGGTTCCGAGCTGACTTAATTAGCTTCTGCTCCTCTCTTCGCGCACCTAGTCTTTCTCTTTCCCTCTCTTTATCTCTCATCTTGGATTCTCTCATTGGGGCTCGTAACAATGGCCTTGTTTATACCAGGGCGCACTGGTCATTCTCGAGTCACGTCCTGACTCGTCGTCCTGCCTCCTCTTTCTCTTCTCTGACTTCCTAATTAAAGACGCAACCGCGACGTGGAGGCCTGGTTGGATGTTATTTTAGAAATGAAGAGAACGACTTTTTTTTTACAAAGGCTCAGAACAGCGAGTTTTCACAGCAATTAGATATTTCGAAATCGCTTGTTATTTATTTAAATATCGTTCGTTGGAACAACACTCGCTTCTTATTCAAACGTTGGGCAATAATGAGTTAAAGAAACATATATGGAAGACAAGGTGATATCATGTAGTTAATTAAAAATGCGTTATAACAAATGCCGGCATATTATCGTTACTGCGTAACGGCGAGCTACATACCATAATCAATTAGTTAGATTCAATAAGTAATCATTAGAATTCGTCATTCAATAATGGAGATGTTAAGGAGGAGGGGGGAGCATAAGGACAATAATACTACCTTTTCCTCTAAACAGGGGGATCCTAGCATAAGGGGAACACTTAAATATCCTAGAGGCGTAAATAAGATACCTTAAAAAAGATAAAAAAGTAACCGTAAAAAAATACGGTATTTCTTCTTCGAAACTATTCAAATTGTGCTCTAAACATTTCTTATATCATTAAAAACAAAGGAGATATTTCTTCTTATGCTGGAACATCTTGTATATTCATACAGAACGTAATGAGGGGAAAAATTAAATTAGTGGAATTAGCGCGTTCGTACCTAGCGACGTCGTGAGTGTTTCCTCGTCTTTTACACGCGAACCGAATTATTACAGATTTCTAAACGATGTTAACTCTTCATTACGTCGTGCGTAATTGCGTGCGTTATGGTAAATATAGGCGTAATTGCAACAAGGTCTAACGATGATTATAACACAATAACAATGTTTGTTGCGCACATCGGTATCGCGGAGTTCACCTACTGCTACCTGCACGTTAAGCTTCGCGTCGTATCGCAGGCACGTGCGCGTGGAAATTTGTCGAAGTTCCTCGGCAACGTGAGCTTCTGCATCGTAACGAGCTTACGCTGAGCCGCCAAGTGTTTTGCGACACGTTCGCGGGACGACAAATAAAAATGCGATTTCCGGCATGATGCGAACTGTTTGCAACTTAATTACCGTCGGCGGATTTTACATCGCGCAATACAATGAGTACAGTGACGAAATCTGTTTCCCAAAGCGAGATGTCAGCGGAGACATTACGGTAGACTATCATCAGGCGCTTATATATTACGAAGTTCAATCATCATCGTTATCACGGTAACCTTATTACAAATTACTTTTAAAGAAATTGAACACCGTTCAACACCGATTTCTAAGAATGGTAACATTATGTAAATTAAATAAGCCAATTCCATACTATTGTCACAATTATCAACATATATAAAACAATCTCTTTACTCTTGAAAGGAGAAAAATTACATTTGATCATGATGACATTCGTTAATTTCTCTACGATCGGATTTATCTGGAGCTGAAAAAAGTATTGTTTAAATCCATTTTTCCTGACAAATGAAACTTAAAATGCTCTTCGCCTCCAACGTTTTGTATCTAATTAACGTATCGAGAATTTCTTGAATAAAAATGAGACTCTTTTTATCATTCTTCGAGTTTATCTTCGTGAAAATTCCGTCTGCGCGATCAACGTTCCCCTCGAGGAAAACATCCCTCCCTTCAGCCTTTGGATCCTTTGCTTCTGATCTCCTCTTTGTATTCAAAATTCTACGGAAAATGCGAGCTATTTTTTCGTCAGCCGTTTTCGGCTACAAAGGTAATCCCGGTAGCAATCTGATCTCGACCTGTGCTGCTAATTAGCGCGCGGAGAAAAAAAACGTAAGCGGATTGTAGGGACCTCTGTACAAACTGCATTTCTGTTTGTGCACACGAGAGAACAGTTGTTGTGCAACTTTATTAATCGTCAAGGCGAACATTCCGTCGATTTTGCGAGCGAAAGCACGGAATGTTCCAAGTTGTCGGAGTTTACTCCGATAACACGGTTGCTTCAACGCTGTTTGGACGTGCGTGAGATAGCTCAGTCGCTCTTCTCGCTCCGTTTTACCCAGAAAAAAATCTATATTGCTCGCAAATTATATTTCTTTTTCTCGCGATATGCAGTAAATTAAAGCAAGGTAAATAATAATTGAAATGTGAAATTGTTCGCTTTCAATTGTCCGAGCGTTGAAATATTTTTCGTTTATCGCGACTTCGTTCTTCATATATATATATATATATTATACCCGAATATTATTACCGATATATGCTTCGGTTAATTTTTTCTCACTCCACGAAAATTAATGTGGAATGTCAATTTAATCTAAACGAGAAAGAGGTACGTTTTAATTCGTTAATTAACGATACACGTGAGCGACTTCACGTTTTTAATAAAAACTGATTGAAGCGTTTCTCCGATCCTTAGCGCCAATTACTATGACTACGTAAAGTAACGCGATTGAAATTCACTCGAGCTCTCGTCGAATTAATGAAACACCAATGCAGTCGCGCACGCCTGCTATGATTACGGCATACAAAAAAATATCCTGTCGCACATCCATCTTCTGATAGTGGCATCGAAAACGAAGGACAAACGCGAACGTGGATACGTAGGATTATTCGCGTTTTTCGTTCATCTCGACGAAAATAGGAGCAAAAATGACGAAGTGATAGATGCAACGTGACGATCGCGCGGAAGCGCATCTACCGTTTTCGATGATAATTTCGTTATTACGATGACGGTGTCGCTTGGTATCGATGAGAATCAACGTGGACGTTGCAGCAGCATCACCTGTTCATACATATTGAACATTATGTTTACCGTATATAGTGACGAAATCAATCCGTGTGCCTCCGATATTAATTTAACTCGCATAAACTTTCCACGATACTAACGAATTAATTTCTGATGCTCGGTTAGGTGAATTTTGCATGAGTAATTATTGACTGAGAATTATCATTAAATCGTACTATATCGGCACGATTTAAGACGAAGATGGCCAAATATGCGAACATTTGTTTTGTAATCCTTACATTTGTAATGTTGCTTCTCACGTACTAATAGTTGCGTACCATTGAATATTAAAAAGAGATTTGTTAAATTTTATACTAGGGAAGTACATTTTGATACGGGACGAACGAATGTACGACTCGCAAAAGAACTCGTTCCATTCCTATCTGTAGCGTACAGTACCGCCGAAACGGCCATTGATATCTGTAATGACATTACTGCGTTCGTGCGAGGGTAGTATCAGTCATGAGTCTCATTGCTGTTTGCTGCTTTCACGAGATATCGCGATACGTCGCGACGTTATAATGCGAATGCACCGCTGTTTTATTAATAATGAGCAGTTTCCTCGAAAAATTGGATAACGTTTACGTCGCGTGACATACATCGAAACAAAAATTAATTCCCGCCGGTCGGGGATTAAAAACGCAAGACAAATATAGCCAAAAGCGCATATCGATAATACGTGTCTCATTATTGAATCGTGACCCGTATGAATATTTATGCTAATTCGTAACGTTTAATAACTCGTCCGACGAAATTATTTATGATGTGAATTTTACTGCGAGCTCTAAAATTTATGTCATCGGGCAGATATTGTCAAACAAATTATTTATTGCTCGATTGAACATTCCTGTTTTATCTTTGGTTTATTTTTCAAGGAATGTTTATTCGGGAGATAACTTTCAAATAGAACGTCGCTGCGACTTCTGTTACAATTAAAAATACGCTCGATTGGTTGAATATTATTTCAATTGGCTGCGTAAAAACAGCTCAAGTGTACGCGTAAAAATGAAAAATGGGAAAAAAGAATTGAATATATACCATAACAATTATAATCCTCAGTCGACTGAGCATTGCAAATTACATATATAATGCAAATTTCTCGAAGAATTTTCGATAATTTTTTACTATTAGTATAATTATTCATTAATACCATTGTGTTAATGAACTCTGAAGAACAACGATTTTATTAATTAATTCGGTTGTCAGCGCGCGGTGGATGTTTATTTAAATGAAATTATAATTGAAAATCAAAATTATCCGTGCATCGGTAATATATTATAATTAAAATTTCAAGTCTGTTCGCGTCTATATATACATGTATCAGCAGTCATGCCGCCTTTGATGTGGCGTTTGTCATTTGCGTGCCATTCGCGGTTTTGTCAGAGGGGAAAATAAAATTTGCCGCGCTGCCGCTTCAAATATCGCGCTTATCTGTGCCATGTGACGAGTAATACCCGGTAAAAGCGCAAGAGCTTCCTTTATGGGGATATGGAATTATGTATTACGGATAATACATCTTCGTTACAACGCACGCACACATACACACCCGTAACGAAACTCGAAAGTTATACTCCGGCAGAAGGAACTTTGTAATTTTGATTAACAACCTGAAAGTGCATTGCAAAAGGGATTTTTAATATATATCTTTTCCTTTCCCCATGCAGCGCTTCTTTCGGTGTTTTCTTGAATATTTAACATACAGTTATTATATGACGAGTCTAATATCGGAAATCAAACTCGGAAATTGATTTTCTTACCTATGCATGTATCTAACAAAAATCTTCTCCGAATATGGCCATCTCTTTCTGAAATTCTCTACCCTGTACTTCGAATCCCATACAGGTAGAAAAATTTTTCGCTGATACAGCAAATTTGTCAGTTACCATAGTGACAAAACACTTGTTAACTCTCCGTTGATCGCAATATGTTTTATCCATGAATGGTCGCAATGTATCTCCCAGATACACTAATTTCCCTATTATTTTCCTCTGCATCTGAAAACAATTTTTCTTTTATTAACATTTAGCTAATATATCAGGCAAAGTACATTAAAAAAACAATAAAGTACAAGGAGAATAAAAAAAAACATTGAGAAAAATAAGTTCAATTTTAAAGTCGATAACAACAACGATACGTTACAGTCTGAACTATTGGATACGCTGATAACTAACTGAGGGTTAATTGCTACTTGTTGGATATATGGACAGTAAAAAAATAATTTGGTTATGCCAACTAAATTTTATTGCTGTCGCAATAACGTTTTGCTACTCTCTTTTTTTACTGTCACCATAGTGAATGACAAATTTGCTATGCCAGCAAAATCTTTTTTTCTCTACGGGTTTCACGAGCATTTTCAAATCGGATTTATATTTATACTTGTAAAGCGAAAATCAAATGACATGCTAAACTTGCACCCCACTTGTCTCGCTTCATTCACTATTTTCATTGCTTTTTGTTGTTTGCAATCTTTAATATACCGCGATAACACTGCGATACTCCCAAATTTTATTTTATATAATTAAATTTCACAATATCGTTATGTATGTATTAATTAAAGCTTCCAATATAACGCTCTTAGAGTACTTTGTTGTACAGCGACAATAAAAACATTTGCCCATCTATCTATGTGCTGTCTATGTCTTGTACAAGACTTTTTGTCGTATCTCTGCGTCAATTTCACGGTGTATCGTACATACTTTGGCGCGTAACCCAGATTTTCAGCTACGCTGATTCAATCGCCGAAAATGATGTTCCTTTGAAACCGCGATCGAATTTTTTCTGGCCGTTTTTTCCGTTTTTTTACGAAGCCGAGCGCGATGCTACGTATGCGAACGACGGCAGTGGCTGCGCGCAATTACACATCTCGCGAAACGTATGTCACGGTCGACCTGTATGCGACGCGGTGGATACATCGCCGCGGCGGCTGCGTTCGTCGGTGCGAACACAATGTCATGACGTCGTGCTCGAAAGTGCGTGAATTATCCGGCGACTCGTTGTTCTTTCCTTTACAATGGGCGACCGCCGAAACGGTTAGCTCGACGCCGAATTTCATTTCCGAATTGCTCGCGCTAATACGATTCGTTAATATCACACAATGAACGAAACGAAAATTGATCATTGTACAGAATTGTAAGGTGTACGAACTTGCTATTTACGATCCAGTATATACGATGTTGTTGTCCATACTCGAGTGCAGACGGAGAGACAATGTCTTCCGAACTAATTGAGATCGGAACGTTTCTCACGGTCGTTCGTCCATAATAGAAGACATTTGTCGCGACGCCACGGCGAAACGACGCACTGGCAACTTCACGCCGGCTACTTTGTTTCCCGATTCGCATCTAAAGCCGCATTGATCGATCGGTAAAGTCAGCCGAGTTTCTCGATCGGTTCGTGTATCGGGTGAGCGATAAGTGATTTAGGTCAATATTTTGTACTCTAAAAGAAACCACCTGATCGGCCGAGAAGCCACATTTAACCCGTTGCACGTCCCAGCCGGTCGAAATTCATCCATTAGCTCGATTTTCATCAACTCCTCATTAGCTATATATTTAATTTGTTACATGCAATTGATCACACGTGTAAATTAGTGAAAAGAGCTGGCCGGCGCTCATGTAACCAGCAGTGTTGACATATTAATCGTAAATTTTACAACGATCCGTTTTATGCAACTGCAGGACTTCTTGTACTGCTACTTACGTAATATTGTCTCGTAAGCGGACGCGTAAACAGAGAAGAAACTGTCGGACGATGCCTTACTTCGGAAGTAATACGACTCAAGAACGAAATCGAGAGGGTCGTTCGTCCATGATGGGAGATACTGCGCGACGTGAGCGATTCTCGCGACGAACGATCGAAACAACAACGCGCGGGCAACTTCACACCCAAGCTACTCGACGACATTCTGATTCGGCGACGCGTCGGTGCACGATCGTCATCGTGAGATCGCGTTGATTAGTCCGCGAAGCCGTGATTAACCGCGTTTCTCTGATCGGTTTGTGTCCTGATATCGAGCGAGTGACAAGTGTTCGAGACAATGCAGCACTCGACGAGAGGACAGCCGGCATCGGGACGACGACTGGTGAGTGAATAATCCAGTTATTATTCATCGCAGTAATTCGCTCGCTCTTCTAATTACGGACTGCGGAGAAAAGATCGGTGATCTGATTTTGTCAAGTTTTGATTGAACTTGAGTCTACAAAATTCTTGGCGTGCGTTTTTTCTTTTGCTTTTGACGTCACTAAACAAAGACAGCGGATAATCAGGAACTTTGCTCTCCCGAGATGTCGCTTAACATATCTTGCGAGACGGAGCGTTAAAAAAGGACGCTACACCAACTTCACGCCTATACATTCAGGTCTAATCATGCAACGCGCCAGGAAGAATGTCGTCGATTGACACGCCGCGGAATCGCCGCGTTTCTCCATTGATTAGCGTCCGTGTGATGAGTGAGCGATAAGAGAACGAGAAAATGAAGAATAAGTGATCAAATATGATTATTCGTAGATATCTGGAGTAATGCAACCGAGGAGGAGGGGGGGACGAGAGTTCGTCGGTTGGTGAGTCAATAATCAGATCATTAGTCGTTAATTTCAGCTTTTCCACTCGCACCGTTCTAATTACTCCTTTATTGCATACAATAATTAATACATTCTCGTTTTCCACTGAAATGTACGTAATGTTAAAATAGATTAGAAGCATGCATGTGCAATGTCGAATATACGTAGAAAAATTACGCGGCAATCTGACAGCGACCGATCTCATGATAAATAATTGTCAAAAATATAAAAAATTCATGCAATAATAATTTATTAATATAAAGAATTAATATATTCTATGAATATAAGATTGTATATGTAAAAAAATCCTTCTCATATATACAAATGGTACGTTAAAATTATTAATATCAATTGCTTTTTTCGGATTAATTAACAAGTTTCTTGTCATATCTATATTGTAATAAAGAACTCGTAATTTTTTTATAAAGAATAACACCGAGTACAATTGCAGAAAATCTTATGAAGCAACGTTGAGAAAGTTATCCAATTTGGTCCAACAGTATCTTTTGGTTTATACTGTTTCCTTTATCAAGATAAAAATCATTCCTTGTTACGCTTTTTCAACACACCTACGCACACACGCGTTTTTCGTAAAGCTTCGCGTCGGTACACAACACAAACAAACTGGGTGGATCGTTGTACACGAAGTGTGTGTACATCCAGGACATCGTTCGAATACGCGATTCCATTGTTCTGCAAAAAGTTAATTTGTCGAGTATTGCGTACATTCACGTGACCGAAACGCCGCGTCGGTCGGATGCTTTTTCGACGGACGAGCTGCCGTCGCGCGCATGTTTTGCACGCTTTATTAAACCGCGCTTCATTCGTGGGATGCGTTTCCGGATCCGCGATATCTCGCGCCGTCGCATTTTTAATTCCCGTGAGGAATCTCCCTTTCTTTCGGCCGACGCGCAATCATCGGAACGCCGCTGCGCTGCCGTGGCTTTTCGCGAAATAACGACCCGCGTTTGCTGCGAGTTACGCCGGGATTTCCGCTTGAAACGGCGGATTGCTTTTTCACCAATGCTGTTCCGAGTTTAAAAAAAAAGACGACATTTTTATTTCGCCGCGCTTTGTAGTTTCGGTCAATCCGCGTGGTATATTCCATTTACATTCTTCTTACTTTAATCTGACATCGTTGGGGAAAACTATTTTATTCTTTGGAAAAATTAACAAAATCTGATATAAGATGTATTGAGAAAAAAAGATTTCTATGGATTCTAGGTCAAAATTTCTTTAACTTAAATAATTTTTTTTAATGATACGATATATACCGCTACTATCTGTCCAAAATTACGGATTATTCATTCGTTATTCACCGCATGTCTGATGTATTTTTTTTTTCAATATTCCCGTCGGCTTTCCTCCCACTTCTACCGAAAGAAGAAGGGTTAGATCTAACCACGGTCGGCGGACGATTTGATAGCGGGTAAAATGGTTTCATCGGTCGATGCACCGTGTCGCATCTCCGTACTTTTCAAATAATGCTTAGCGAATATCATGCTGTGTTCGCCGTGGAATGCTACGCTTTGGTTTCCTTCTCCCTTTCGCTCTCGCGCACTGACGACAAGAATAATTGCGACAATCGTGAGAAAAAAAAGTTCTTTTATTCTAAAAGCGAGGTGACTTGAGGGAAAAATATTCATAAGAATCTCCTGTTCAATCTGATCATTGATTCTTTAATTTTCGCATCGAAGGACAAATGGCGACACAATTGCAGCGTCGTAATAAATAGTTGTCCGTAAAATATCAGCGTTGAAGATTCAATTCCTTCCGCGCATCCAAGTTCACTGCTACGAGCCGATTTGTATGCAAAATTTCCGTGGATCTTCGCGTTTTCGTGCACCAGAGAATGTTCTCTTTTCCCTAGCGCGGTTAATAATGCGAATGGGTGCGCACTTTATTCACACACCCCGTTCTTGTTTTCGCGCGAGTCCATTCGTCTTCAGAAGTGACGCGATACTACGCCGCTGGTGAGAATTTTGCTGAGAGGGGGGAGGCGACGGGGGAATATAAACCTCTCGCATTTCCCACGGGAGACGCCACAGAGTGGCTACGAGGACGCCGGTGTCTAGACACCGTCAGCCGGCGTCAAACCGCGAGCGTCGAACCAGCGACAACAATAATCCGCCGCCTCCTCCGGGATATTCCAGAAGTGATTGCTGGCTTCTGTGGACGTCCACCGCGTTCTCTGATCCTCTACGGACTCATCGGCACGAAAAGTGCACGCCGTGAGCGCGTTCGAAGTCACTTCATTTTAAAATATTCCGAAGAAATTTCTTTCTTTGCTATTTTATTATAAATAATAATATTATTATTATGAAACTTTATTCATGGGAATTCATTTGGAAATATACGTAAAAGTAGACAAATTGAACAGCGTGATGTAAGAGAGAAAAAGAAGTGGATAAATCTTTATCTATTTCACTTACAAAAGCAAAAGTAAAATATATGACATATGTAACAAAAGAAGTAAAAGAAATAAAAACACATTATGAGGAACTTAAATTTATGTTACTAATAATAGCACTTTTAAAAGAGGGTAATGACAGTATAATGAAGATCAGTATTATCGTTAAGATCATCAGTAAACAGGATGAGGCGATTTAGTGACTTGTACCAACTATAAAGTATATGATACTATCCAATATACGGAGGTGGAAAATATTTAAGGAGCCAAGAATGGGAAATTTAATTAAGCTTAAAATATCAGGGCAAATTAATTCCCAGTATTTGAAATAAAAACAGTAAATCTGTTTCTTTTGCACGGAAAAAAATGCTGTTGGATTAATAAAATTTCCAACAGCACGCGTAATTGGAATAAATCTTTTTTATTCGATAGTAATATATCATTGAAATTAATATTTTAATTATGGAAATAATACATAATAGTTTTAATGATATTTACCATTGAATCAAGAAGATTTACTCCAATTATGCTGCTATCGGAAACTTGATTGATTCAAAAGTATTTTTTTTTTCTATGTATATATATATAATTAATAATTAATTCGTTGCAATATTTTATATAATATTTTACATAATATTTGATACACACGATTTTGTATAGTATGCCGTTTGAAGAGATTGAGATATATGGAGCATTTTGTGAAACAAACGCGAAATTCGAAAAGCTAAGGGAGCCGAAGCGTTCCGAATATTTCGTTCATGCTCTGTAAAAATTACGATCCACCCTCGAAGAGTGTTTTCCTAATTGCAATGTGAAATTGCAGTTTCAATTCGTAATGGCAACTAGATCTCCGATCCGGCCGGTACAAGATGAAACGAACGCGTACGAGCGCAATCCGTAGCTGAAATTCTCTAATAATATCCCGGGACCGAACCTTTCTCCGGCAAAAAGGTTAACCGGGCCCCAATTTCCGTTAGCGGCTCCTCCTCTAAAGGATTCGCGTGAGCACGAAAGCGTTAATTGCTCATTAACGCGCGCGCTCACTCGCGTGTTTCTTGCTGAGTACAAATTTTCAACGATCCGTCGTCGCGGCGAAAGGATGAAAACCATTTCCTCGCGCGAAAAGTAAGCTCTCAACCGGGTATCGTTGGTGGAAAAGCGCTCCCGGGTGTCATAAAAGTATGTAGGGTCTTAGAATTTTTCTTGCAGGGAAGAGCGCGCACTCTATTGTTGTTGCCGCGATCGTTATTT